GTTTTTTCTTCCATTTCTTGCATTTTTTGGTTTGCTTTATGTTCCATTTCTTGGATTTTGTGCTTTGTTTCTTCTTCCATTTCCTGCCTTTTTTGGTTTGTTTCTTCTTCCATTTTTTTCATTTTTTGCTTTGTTTTTTCTACCATTTCTTGCATTTTTTGCTTTGTTTCTTCTTCCATTTCCTGCCTTTTTTGGTTTGTTTCTTCTTCCATTTTTTTCATTTTTTGCTTTGTTTTTTCTTCCATTTCTTGCATTTTTTGCTTCATATCTTCTTCCATTTCGTGCCTTTTTTGGTTTGTTTTTTCTTCCAATTCTTGCATTTTTTGGTTTGTTTTTTCTTCCATTTCTTGCATTTTTTGGTTTGTTTTTTCTTCCATTTCTTTGAGGGATTTTCCAATATCCTCTTTTAGGGCCTCTATCATTTTCATGAAAGTGCTTTTAAGGTCGTTCTCTTCTGCTTCCTTCGGATTGGAATGTTGGGGTCTTGCTGGTGTGGAGTCTCTAGAATCTGGCGGTGTCATATTTGTTTTTCTGTTGCTGACTGTGTTTTTGTATTGTCTCTTTCCCATCTCTTCTTCTAGTGGGTGCAGAAAGAGCCCCTTACTGGTCTGGGGACCAGAGTTCCCTTTTGATGGGTGCTAGCAAGTCCAATAATCTGTTGGTTCTTCTATACCTTGTCCAAATGGTGGTCCGTGGGTGGAGAAGAAGAACAGGAATCTGGGGCGCTTAGCCTCCTACCTGGTCCCCTGGACCCTATGCTGGGTCCTGTTGTACCTGATCCGGAACAGCTACTCCCCTGGTCTCCCTGGCTCCTCTATTTTCCTGGTCTCGTTGGTGGGAGAGAAGATCTGGAGTCTGGGTTGCTTGGCTCCCGCCGGGATTGGGAGCTCTGTGTAGTTCCCAGGCGATCTGCAGGCACTGGAACACAGGCCGGGAAGCCGGCCTGTTTACCTGATGCTGCCGGAGGGACAGCTACTTCCCTGTATTCCCAGCCTCCTTTCGTTTCCTGGACTCGTTGGTTGGAGAGAAGACCTGGAGTCTGGGGTGCTTGGCTCCCGCCGGGATTGGGAGCTCTGTGCCGTTCCCAGGTGATCTGCAGGCTCTGGAACACAGGCCGGGAAGCCGGCCTGTTTACCTGATGCTGCCGGAGGGACAGCTACTCCATCTCTTGTTTTCTGTTAGTTATGCTTGCATCTGTAGTTCCTGACTTTTTATTCAGCTTTTCAATTTCCCGCATTACCTCAGTTTGTGTTTTTTTTTTATTGTCTCCATTTCAGTTTTCAGGTCTTGAACTGTTTGAATTGTTTCCTTCATCTGTTTGATTGTTTTTTCTTGGCTTTCTTTTAGAGATTTGTTGATTTCTTGCATTTTTGGTTAGTTTTTCTTCTATTTTTAAGGTATTTTCTCATATCCTCTTTGAAGCCCTCTATCATTTTCATGCGGTTATTTTGAAGGTCATTCTTTTCTGTTTCATCTGTGTTGGTATGTTCAGGTCTTGCTGGTGTAGAATTTCTAGACTCTGGTGGTGTCACACTGGTTCTTCTGTTGTTGGCTGTGTTTCTATATTGTTGTCTTCCCATCCTTTCTTTCAGTGGGAGCTCATGGGGTCTCTTCTTCTCCTGGTGTGTTTGGGTCTAAAGATCTCTTCCAGTGCATTCAAGTAGGTCTAATGCTCTGATGGGTCTCACGATGTGTGCAGGTGGGTCTGAGACACTCTCAAGCACAGGTGGAGACTGGAGGGAATGGAAGACTCAAGCAAAGGGAAGAGGCCAGAGGAGACTTAAGGATGAGGTATGGCCAGACTCAGCATGATCCTTTCTGGTGGGGTGGGTCCTCTCTAGGCATAGGGCAGGCCTAGGCAGATGGAAGCAGGAGGATGTCAGGAGTTGGGGCCCAGAGCAGAGCCCCCACTCACCTCAAGCACAGGGTAGGGGCTGGAGGGGACTGAAGCATACTAAACTCTCCTTATCCTTACTATCCTATGCTTAGGGGACAAAATTGTGTCTATTATTGTACAAGTCATAGCTATGATAGATAGCTTCTTAACTTTCCATCATACATGATTAGTATATTTCCCATGGTTCTAGTTTGAGTGGCCTGCCAAGCAGCTCTAAGATTAACACTACTTGTAATAGTATCTAATTTGTATAGAATACACTATGTTTAAAATCTTAATCACATGGTAAAGTCATGTTAGCCACTTCTATTGATTTAACATGGTATTCAAAAACCTCTATCATTTGGATAAATTCGGTCTCCCAGATCTTAATAATTAGTCTCACAATCCACTCTGTCCTTGAGAAATATAGTGAGAGTAGCCCTAACTTTTCATTCTTACATTTTTATAAGACTAACCACATAACTTCTTCTATTTAACTTACAGCAAGCCAACATTATCTATCTAAAGAACCTGTTTATGAGAAATGTCACATCTTGGTATTGTCTTTTTTTTCAGTAACTTATCAGTTAACTGTCTTAGGAAATACTATTCAATTCTGTATTAATTATTACTTGATGAAGCAGTTAATCTAAACAGCTAAACATGGGAATGTATTTTCTATTACTTTATTGGATTTCCACCCTACCTGCGACATCAAATTATACTGAAAACACTTCAGGAACTGTTAATTTTCTAATCATAATACATCAATGAACACCATTAATTAATTTTCGATCAAACTTGTTATAATCCACAGGCATCATAGCATTCATTGTTAAATTACTATATATGGTCTTCTTCTACAACTACCGAAGGTACGTGTAAATGCTCCTATTGCAGATTCAGGAGTTTTAGTTGCTATCTTGCTGGAGTTAGAAGATTCTGGAATGATATGAATTACTATCTTGTTAAATTAACAGAAACAGCAGCTCATCATTTTCTTTGTCTCTAGGAGGCATAGGTATCACGGGGTATATTTATTTACAATGAACTTAAGGCCACTAATTACATATTCACTAATTAGTGATAAAGCACATTGTGTTTTAGCAATTTTAGCTCAGCTATCATGAGGCTGCTACATGGGGATGACAGCCTCCATGACAGCACACAGCTTGACTTCTTCACGATCACTCTGCCAACTCAATTTATGAAGGAATCCATCACTGAACCATAATCCTAGGCTGAGTACTGCCATCTGCCTTACCCTTAGTAATATGATAACTCACAGCCAGTCTTAAAAGTCTAGCTTCCCACCTACTGTTAATTTCACTGTTTAACCATTTTGTCATTATTTTCCCGATTGTCCTATGCTGTTTTTATTGGATCTTAACATACACATTACAGTCCTTTATCATCTAGATTCTGAATACATATCACATATGCACTAACCCCCCATTTCCACAAGAGACTATTGGATAGATGTTTCTATTATGTCATTGTTCTTATGGTCTCTCAAATGTAAAGTCATCATAGAGATCTGTACTATTTTAAAACTAAACATTAGAATGTGAATCTAATAATGCACGTTTTTTGCTTGTTGTTTGCTGAGAAAGCAGGGAAAAAATGTAATTCATGCAACCATACAAGAAAACAGCCGTTTTAGCCCTGAAAGAGCAGTAGCTTTTCCTTGGGGTACAGGAGCAATCTTAGACCAACTCAGAATAAAGGTAATTAATTTTATATTGCCCATTATTCAAATCCAAGCAGCAGTTTTATATTTTTTTCTATTTCAATTTTACTTGCCGGGCGGTGGTGGCGCACGCCTTTAATCCCAGCTCTCGGTAGGCAGAGGCAGGCGGATCTCTGTGAGTTTGAGGCCGGGCTGGACTGATAGCCTCCAAAACAATACAGAGAAACACCTGTCTCGTAAAAACCAAAAAAAAAAAAAACAACCCAAAAAACAAAAAACAAAAAACAACAACAACAAAAAAAGAAACAATTTTCCTTACGTGGCCGTACAAAACATCCATTAGTTCAGTCCTGAAATCTTTCAATTAAATATGTCTGTAATCAGGTACAATTTCTACAATTGTGTTTATTTATTCAGGTCACAGATCCGCTGTTTCCAAGAGACAGTGATTAACGACTACATCATGAGGTTTGGGTTGGGCCTTGGGTGGGGTGTAATTATCTTTTCCTATTTCTTTTATAGAATGTCTGCCCTTTACTCCTTGAATGATAGTCACACAGGTTAGCAGAAGTGATGCAATTCTCCAGAAGAAGGCTGAGGCCACAGACTTCTCAACTGGTCCTGATTTCTCCACCACTTATTGCAGTCTCAAGTGCCTGCCACAGGCACAGGGACCCTGGCCAGCCAATCCACTTTGGGGTTCTGGACAGAATGGACTAGGTTGGCGGAAGTGGGGGAAGCACATGCCTCTCCCGCTGGGACTCTCAGTTCTGCAGACCCTACCCAGCAGTTCCCTGGCATCTGTAGGAACCAGGAGTGAAATTTGTCACCAGTCACATGCAGGTCACCTCCTTGATCAGCTGGCCTTCCTCACCTTAGCATTTTTTTACCTGCCCAGGAACCCAGAAATACCGGGGAACAGTGGAGTGGAGAAGAGCGGGTGCTCTCCTAAGGATATGAGGGCGGGGCAGCCCTTCCTTTCTCTTACTTTATTCCAAATGAATTACTTTGTAAGTAAGTATGCCCTTAAAGAAGATATAACCTGATTTTTTACTTTAATGGATTTTACTTTAGAGAGACACTCAGCTTTCTACCTGAATTTAACATGTTCTGTGTAATCAATTTTCAAAACATTAAGTACGCAAAAGAAGAAACTACTAATTGTCATAACAGCATGTGAAACTATATTGCTGGAAAAATATTTAAAATACTATGCCATCTGATTATGAGCAAAAATTTTGACAGTAAATTTACTTTGAATAGTAGGAGAAGTATAAGCTAGAGTCACAAGTAAATTAGATTTTGTTGCTTCACGACTTTCTCAAGTGGAAAATAATCAGCGCTTTACCGGGAACTTTGATGCCTTCCCACTAGATTGATCACGTTTACTCACTTAGCTGTGAAATGTGAGGGAGTGATTTAAAGCTCGCTTTAAAGCAAGAACAAGGGGTCTGGAGGCACATGCCGGTTCAGTAGCCTCAAGGTCCCAATCATGGTTACAGCAGAGGCATTCGGGTACGTTCCTCTTCTAAGTTTGGCTCTCCTCTCCTTGGTGTGTTGGCCTTTCTGCTTAATTAACAACAATAGCTGTTCCTTTCGGGCTGGCTTTCGTACTAATCCTGAAATTCTTCTCTGTAGCATTAAGAACTAGTCGGGTCGTGAGCAGCAACCCCTGGGCACTGGGTTGGCGCCCTTGTGCTGTTCAGCCTTTATCAAGTTTCACTTTCTAGTGCTAGTACCTAAACAATGAAAAAAATTTCATCCACTTGGGATCTAACCGAAGTGTTGGTATATTTGTTTATTTTTCCCTTCTAATATAGTCAATTGCAAAATTTATTAGGAAATCTTAGCCTTTTGTTCTCCTCTATCATTTTTAAAAGTGTCAGCTGAGTAAGAGAGTTGAGGCCCTAGTATATGAGTCTATGACAGCTCTGACATTAAGAAGATCCTTAAAAAATAGAGATCATTTTTACTGACTGAAATGGGTGTTTTAATAGCAGTATATACATAGTACAAATCCATTTTTTATATTTTCTACAAACCGATATTTTGCTCTTACAAATCACACTAGATCAAAAACTTGTACCAATAGTAGATACTCATCTCGAACTGGGTCAAACATGTTTTCTTTAAAACTATGCAAGGGACATGCTATGTGATGGTTGCAACAATTTTTAATAAATATGGATGGTTAAGGAAACTTTTATCAAAGAAACTGCAACAAATGTTAAGTTCCTTTAAAATAACTATTTCAACGTTTGCATGAATGAATAACTGGAAAAAATAAAAATAAGTTGTAATCTTAAGAAAGCTTTCCAAGTGTTTAGATGAAAAATTTTCTATCACAACTGCAAAGCATATGGAGATGGCATGGAATTGCATATGGGGTGTGGACAGGAGAGAGAATTCATATCTTTAAGGAAGAATTGAAAGGCATTACATAACTGCAATCTTAGCTCCCAGTTCCTCATGTGAGAGCAAGGTACAAAAGCTTAATGCAGTGCACTTTGAAGCCTCATATCAGGCTTAAGGAGATAACCTTAATGATAATAAACAGGGTAAGGCAAACAGAAATCAACTTGAGGTAATTAAAACATAAATTAAGGCTCTATTCTTAATTTTCTTTGATTTTGTAGGTATAGACACTTCATAAAGAAATATTCCTCTCGGGTTCCTTTAAATTTGAAGAGTAAGTGTTTAGATGTCAAACTTGGGATGCCAGAGGATTGGAGGAATGATTGTAAGGCTACTGTGAACCTGAACTTAACCAAAGTTACTTAGGAGTTGAACCAATCCTTTTCAAAGTCGGCCTGTGACCCCAGAAAAGAAAATACTAGTTTCTAAATTTCATTTCAATATAGCCCTTAAAGAAAGTTCTCTATGTTTTAGTAGTTACATTTATTGACCAAAATTGAGAAAAGGTTATTGCTGAAAGTGAAAGTTTTGAGGGTTTAAACATGTATAAAATTGGCTTTCTTTCTACATTAATAAAAATTGTGAGATTAAAAGTAAGAATTATAGCAGATGTCTGAAACCATAATCAAAATGTATAGCACAGCTAACCCTGCACACGTAGTTATCTAGACTCTCCACAAAGTGCCATGGCCTCGAGCCTGGGACCAATGGTTCTTCTTGAATGAAGCTTTCACCATGTTCCTGACTGCTGTGGGGATGGCCAGCCGCAAATTCCTGAGCAGAGTTTGTTATGTACGTGTTCAGTGCAGAACTATACAGCTCTGTTTTCTCAAAGTTTTTCCTCATGGCCTCATCTTGCCTCTTCTTAGACCTGTGAAGATGACAAAGGAAAACATTAACATCTCATTTTCCAGTGAAGGACTCCAGAAAAATGGCAAAAGAGTAAATGTGTCTGAACACTGTAAATGTGTCAGATAAGTAATGTGTACAGTTATCATTGTATTTCTGCATTCCGAACTAAAAATAAAACCAACGCATGAGGCAGGGAAATGGCTGTCACTGGTCTGTGGTTTAGCAGGTTAAACTGCTACCTAACTGGAATGGCTCTCCTGTAGGATTTTACTATTTTGACCACTTCCAGACTATGTTTTCTTTATCTTCCTGTTGGCCTTCTCCTACATTGCAATCATGAGTTCACACAGCACAGAAAATCTTAGGAGAGCCATCCCTCCAAACCCTTCAGTGGCAATACCAAGTAACGCAGTTGAAAATCAGCTTACACTGTTTGGCAATGTGGCCCAGACGTGTGACACTAGCACTACTTGAGCTTGGGTATCACACTCAAACAGTAAAAACTATTAATTAAACTATTAATTTAAAAATTCATGGGTATTCTGATCTAATATTTTACCATAGTATAACTATATAAAAGATACAGTATAGGGATACTGTGGAGGGAAATGCCATGCAATCCAAACTTGAAAAAATAATAGAAACTACTTTGGGTAAATGTTTTAAAAATTAGCTCTTTTATAAACATTATTTTTCATAAGCATTATCTCTAGCTTGATTTCACATCATTAAAAATTTACAAATGTCTTTCACTGACAATTATTCTTCATATTAGCTTTCTTTTCTCCATATGTAATATGGAGAAAACATATTATATACAAATATATATTTATATTTATATGATTTATATAATATATAGTCTTATGTAACATAGAAATATAATATATAATTTTATATAATATGTCACGTATATAGGATATATAAATATATTTTAACTTACTTTAGTTGTTCATGAGATAATGACTTTGTCATTTCTACCATTTCTAGATAGAACTCCTCATATTCCTCTAGTTTAGCTGATTTTCTTCCCTTTCCTGAAAGAAATTTAAAACACGTGTATTTAAAATTGCAATAACAATAAATGTATGTGTTTGGTTTCTGTAGTTTCAAGTCAATGATTCTGAATGTTTAAATATGTGAAAAAATAGCTTTAAAATATTTATCAACAATATTGTCTACATTTGATCTGAATTAAAAACAACAAAACCAGATCTAGGCTTATATGAATATATTTGTCACTGTGTGTGGTATTAAGCTCTGAGTCATTGGCAGTAAATTCTATATTTCTGAATCCCTCTCATGTTATTGTCATGGAATTAGATATTTTGGGAAAGATTACAGAATGGGTTAAGAATGTAAAGAGAGAATAATTTAAATAAAAACCATTTTCAGAGTATGTTATTCTCTGGACCTAGAATATAAAATCACAAGTGCTTCAGAAAGACTGACATGAAGGTCATAAAGGTCAATGGAGCAAAGTGATTAAAAAGCAACAGGAAAGGAAACTGTTCTTACACAGCAGCTACAAGAACATTGGCAAAGGAATAACTGAGAAGAATCACCTCTGGGAAGAAACTGAGCTGGGACCAAAATGAACCGAAGCATTTACTTAGAGAGTGAGCTCCTTCCATTCTAACCAAGTCACCAAAGTGTGACCTGCCCTCTCTGTCTTCCACACAGCCCTCACAGCGAACAGGGAGTGGGTTTAAATTGTAAATTATAGTTAGCTTAATCCATAATGACTGATTGTTTGATAGGGTTGAGTGCAAATGAACATAATTCTGAGTGGAAGGATTATTAGTTTTAGAATCTGCCATTTTAAATATTCTTTCCACAAATGACAGAATCTAGGAAAATCTTGAGCTTACTTCTGATGAACAGAATGTGTCAAAAGTAATTCCTGTGACTTCCAGTAGTTTATGAAGTGGTTTACATTAGTCTTATCTCCCTGCTGTGAGGACATCAGTCTACAAGGAAAGCCTGGGTGTTCCCACATAAGCATTCCACCACCTTCCACCACCATACTGCAAACGAAGCTCTTTCCAGAACCCAGAACCATTAGGCATGTCAGGGATAACACTCCAGAGGACTTCAGCCTCCCATCCTTCCAACCTGTCCTAACCAAATATCATCAGAGAAGAGAGGACCTACCTATCCTTGTCAAGATTTTCTCAAAATGGAGATGGTGAAACAAAGTGGATTTTGTTTAATCTGCAAACATTTGCATAATTGAAATAAATTGTCAAATGATGGATTTGAAAAGATCCAGAGTTTCTTTTGAAGAGCCCATAATTAATAAGAGTAACTTACTAATGCCAATGCTAATGAGAAGCAACAGAAAGCCACCAGTCACTCGAACTCCTGAGGAAGAAGACTGGTATGTAAAATAAAAACAAAGATTGTTTTATAAAAAAAATAAATTAAATTTCAAAATACTTTAATCAAATAAATTCTTACAACGCTAAATTCCTATTAATAAATATCAGTGTTGTCACAGTGAATATCAGAAAAATATAAATAAAATAAAATACAAATATATTAATAAAAATTAATTGTATTCCTAAAAGAGATACTCTAATTGTATTCTTAGGTGGCAAGATTCATCTCAGAATCCCAGAGGATATGACAAAGTATGTCTATGAGATTGTGACTAGGGTAAGCAGAACTTACATTTCCATATTGGTTGTGATTTGAAGACTTTTTATACCACTCTAATCTGAGCCACCAGTCCAAGTAAAAACCAGGACAAAGGACAAAATTACTTCATTTTGACAACGGAAATATTTGGTTAAGGAAATAACTTTTATTTTCCAATTGTGCAGCAATATTGATATTGAACAAAATTGATATCAATATATACTAAATAAGACAGCAATGAGGGTCATTTTTCTATTCTTCTTGGTGTAGCAAGTACTTCACAAATAGCATTCATCTTAGATTCCTTTAAATTTTAAACATCCAAATGAGATTATATATTCAGATATGAATCTTAGGATGCTGGCAGAAGACTCTAAGTTTACTATGAATGGGAGACCTAACAAAACTACTTAAAAATCTGAGCAAGTCTCTTTCAAAGTTTACCTGGAATGATAGGAAACAATGCAAGTTTTATAAGATTTCATTTCCAAATGGCTGTGAAGATCTGTGTCACAATAAACACATCTAATGACTCAAATTAAGACATGGCTATTGCAGGGTGTTGGTGGTGCATGCCTTTAATCCCAGCACTCCGGAGGCAGAGGCAGGCAGATCTCTGTGAGTTCGAGGCATGCCTGGTTGGTCTACAGAGCGAGCTCCAGGACAGCTTTCAAAACAATACAGAGAAAACCTGTCTCAAAAAACCAAAAAAAAAAAAAAAAAAGACATGGCTATTTATTGAAAATGTCATCTCCAAGGATTTTTAGAGTGGATAGAGAAAATGTGGTATATTTACACAATGGAGTACTATTCAGCAGAAAAAAACAATGGAATCCTGAGATTTGCAGGTAAATGGATGACACTAGAAGAAACCATCCTGAGTGAGGTAACACTGTCACAAAAAGAGAAAGATGGCATTACTCTCTCATATATGGATTTTAGACATAGATCTGGGGAGTGCCAGCCTACAATCCCATGGCCAGAGAGTCTGGGAAACAGAAACTTCATTCAGTGGCTGATGGAAGAAGAGGCACACTCCCATGGCTAAGCACTGAGCTGAACTCAAGAAAGCCAGTAACAGAGAGGGAGGACTGATGACCAAAGGGATTAAGACTGGGCTGGTTTAACCCCCCAGAAATAGCTGACCTGACAAAGGTTAACTCTTGAATCCCAGGCATCAGCCTGGGAATCCAGCATGGGACTCATCAAGACCCCCTGAATGGGGGTGTTAGTGAGGAGGCCTAGGTAATTTATTGAGCCTTGGGCAGTAGATCAGTACTCATCCCGAGTATACACACGGACTTTGGACTCCCATCCAACAATGTGAGATGCACTCTCACCCTGAACTCTTGGGGGAGGGTCTAGGCCCTGCCCTGTATGAAATGACAGACTATGGACACCCCCATGGAGGGCCTCACCCTCCCTGGGGAAATGAGGGGATAATGGGGGGGTTGGGGGGCACGGGAGGAGGGGGAGGGAAAGGGAGAGGGACCTGGAACTGATTTATGAAGCAACCTTGTTTCTAATCTAAATTTAAACTTAAAAATAAATAATAATAATAATAATAATAATAATAAATGTATAAAATTGGTTTTCTTTATTAACATAAAATTGTGAGATTGATTAATTCAAGGTGAATAAGTTAGTAAACTCAGTGTGCCACTAAATTAAAACATAGTTATATAAGATTATTTAAAACCAAAGAAAAATGTACAGCATAAGTAACCCTGTTTAGGAAACTTGCCAAACTCTCAGCAAAGGGCTGTGGATCAAGGGTTCTCTTTCCAAGAAACTTCTGTTGTGTTCCCAGCCACTGTCGGGAGGCTCAGCTGCAAACCCGGAAGCAGGGTTGGTCATGCAGATATTTGGTGCACAACTGTAAGGCTCCATTTTCTCAGAGTTCTTCCTCATTGCCTTATCTTGCCTCTCCTTAGACCTGTGAAGATCACAAAGAAAACATTAGCATCTCACTTTTCCCATGAAGAATTCCTTAAGATGGCAAAAAAATAAATAAATTTTCCTACTAAACCATGTCTGAACACTGTAAATGTGTCAGATAAGTAATGTGTACAGTTATGATTTAGAATTGAGCTGAAAATAATTGTATTGCTGTATTCTAAACTGAAAAGAAAATCAAACAATGTAAGAGGCAGGGAAATGGCTGTTATTGGTCTGTGGATTAGCAGGTTAAACTGCTACCTCCAGGAATGGCTATCTTGGAAGATTTTTGTTGATGTTGTTAGAAACATTGTATCAGCCAAGGTCTGTGTGAGATGATGTCTGTGGTAACTGCCTTGATTTGAATGGGAGCTAAGAGGCAGGAAAGTGGGTTCTGAGACAGCACATCCCATGTCATGATGCACAGGGCCACCCAGTTTGCCTCCACATACCCCTCCCAACAAACAAGGAGCACTTGTAGCTACTATTAAATTATTATTTTCTTCACTTTCGTGTTAACCTTCTCCTACATCATGAGTTGCAATCATGGGTTCACACAGCACAGAAAAACTTAGGAGGACAATCCCTAGAAACCCCACAGTGGTAACACCAAATAACACAGTTGAAAGTCAATTTACAAAGTGTTAGATTATGGCCACCAATGTAGTATTAGTACTACATATATCTGTGCTTAAATTATCACATTTAGAGAACAGTTAAACTTTTAATTTATAAAATACAACCCATACTTGGAAGGTAATAGCAACTATTTTTTTGATCAAACATTTTAAAAGAACATTCACTTAATAAGACTGCTTTCCAAAATTATATTCTCTAGCTTGATTTCATATCACAGAATCTCATCAGTGTCTTCCCCTAACAATTATTTTCAGGGACAAATAACTGACTTACATTACTTGTTTATGAGATGATCGTTTTGACCCTTTCTAAATAGGGATCCTTACACCTTTTTGATTTAGCTTTGTGTGAACCTTGATGAGTCATTTCTTTTGAGTGTTCAGATTGCAGATTTGTAAATCTGGATTCCTGTGGACTTATGAATGAGGCATCATGGTTCCCTAGTGTGTTATCAACAGTTTCTTGATCTTCTGCTGTTATCTGAAATTTAAAGGATACATTTTTCTTTAACTGTGATAGCAATAAATACCGTGCTTTCGCTTCTTTTAGTTTTGGGCCAGTAACTCTGAGCATTTAAATATGTAAAAAACATAGAATATTCAAAATATTAAATACTAAACAATATTTTACCTTAAGCTATTCATTAAAACATTTATAGTCAATATTGTCCACATGTGATCTGAATTCTACAAAACTGGTATAGGTTTATGTGTGTGCATTTGTGTTTGTGTGTAGAATTGAGTGTTGCATTGAAGGTTAGTTCTCCAGCACTGAAACACCTCCTCAGCTTTAAATCATTCTTATGTTAGTGCCCACAGAATTAAATACTTTGGAAAAGTCACAGAATCAATTGAAAGTATTAAAAATGAATATTAAATATATTAAAATTATTTTCAAAGTGTGTTATACTCTGTCCCTAGAATATGAGATCACAAGTGCTTCAGAAAGTCTCCTGCCAGATGTCTGGTGGTGGCTAAAGCACTGACAAAAGGACATCAAACTGTGAAAAACTGACACGGAAGTCTTGGGATATGGTGTCGTCATTACACAGCAGCTACAGGAACATTGCCAGACGGATGACTGAGAAGAATCACCTCAGAGATGGTAACTGAGCTGGGATCAAAATGAATGAAGCATTTCCTTAGAGAGTGAATGCTTTCCATCCTATCCAAGTCACCAAAGTGTGACCTGCCCTCTCTGTCTTCCACACAGCCCTCACAGCGAACAGGGAGTGGTTTTAAATCAGTAAATTAAAGTTGACTTCATCTATAATATCACTTGATAGGAGTTGTGTGCAAAACTGAGACTAATTTTCAATAGTTGGACTATATAACGTATAAGGACATAATATAATAATTTGAGAACCTGTCATTTTTTAATGTTAATTCCACAAATGATGGAATGTAGGAAAACCTAAATGTATTCCAATGAACAGAATGTAATAGATTCATGCCTCTATGTAATTTAGAAAATGCTTTATATCAATCCCATCACCATGTTGTGAGGACATGTGGTAAAGCCCACATGTTCCCACATGAGTGTTCCACCTCCCTACTGCAAATGAAGCTCCTGCCAGGTAGTACCAATATCCAAAACAAGCAGGCAAATTAGGGAATAACATTCCAGAGGACTCCAGCCCCCCACCGTTTCAATTTGTCCCAAGTGAATGTCATGGGAGGAGATGACCTGTTCTGTGTCAAGATTTTCCTAATCTGTAGATTTTTGAACAAAATAATATTGTTTAACTCATTAAAATTTGGATAATTGAGAAATAAATTATCAAAAGATAAATCTGTAATGAGCCAGGGTAGACTTTCACAGAATTTAGTCTCCATTAAAGAAGACCATTTTAGTGTGGACAGAAGTTTTATGTCATGTTCTTTCCATTCAAATTCTTACCACTCTGTAAATGCTTTTTTTAAATTTCTGAAAAGAAAGTTGCGAGTTTAGAATAATGGGAAATGGGGATGAGTACAATGTCAAGTGTAGTCCGCAGATGACTGTGCTTACAGTCAGTCACCCACCCTTTCCGACGTCATACTCTTCCTGCTCAGCCTCCAGCAATGATCCCTGAGCCTTTGGAGAAAGGAGTGCAATGCAGATGTTCCATTTAAGGCTGGCTTGTTTTATTCTTATTATAAAAGAGTATTGTCAGTGTAGAATGTGACTAGAGTGTGTAATCACTGAATTTTATTTGGCACTAGCAAAACAACAGGTATTGGAATTTTACAAATGACTGAATTTCATTTTCCATATCCTAATTGTTGCCTAATCATCCCCTGAAATTAAGCACATCCCTGTGGTAGGGAAGTGGTCATATTATGCCTGTTGCTTGGTTTTTAGACATCAACTTTGCTTTGAGACAAGAAAGAAGAAATTGCTGGTTCTTTGAATAGAAAACTCACAACTCTTTCACTGATAACAAGTTGGTAATATTTTAAAAACATCTCACTGTTGAAGCACTGAGAGTTTTATTTTCCAAACTGACTTTTTTGGGTCCCCTAACACCTGGAAAAGTACCTCATATCTTGGTATATCAAGTGGACTCTCCATTTCAAATTGTCTGGGGTTGGAAACTTCAGAGAAACTATGCTCTTCATTTTTATGCTCAGTTTTTGTTTTTGTTCGTTTAAAAAATTTTTTACTCCTACAAGAATGTAAAGAATGAGTTAGTGACAGCTTCTAAAGAGTAAACATTTGCTAAAATATGTAAATTATGATTTTCATTTGTTTCAAACTAAATTATTTAAAAATTATAACCACAAATAAATACAAAAGGAAATTATTGAGACACACACAGCACACCAATAGCTCACATTGAGCCCAAATGATAAATGAGTAGATTCAGTCCCCAGAATCCACAAAAGGAAAAAGATGAGAACTGACATTGTGACATTGTTCTCTGATCTTTGCACACACACACACACACACACACACACACACACCCCACATCCACACATACAAATCCCCATGATAATAATACTTTTATACTATATTTAGTATAAATTTGTATATATATATATGTATAATTCTCTCTCTCTCTCCCTCTCTCTCTCTGGTGTACTGTTAGACTTCCTTATCTATGGGCTTATAACTAAGGAATCAAACAGGTCTTAATGCAAATATTGAAAAATACTGAATATGTACTGAGGCAGATCTTAATTCTATTCTTTAGTTACTGAATTTAGTATAAACTTGAATTAAATATAGTATTAAAAGATGCTGCACTCCACAAACTGAAAGCAAGACCTCATTGCTGAAGAAATCACTCACACAACTCATTTAACATGGAAAGACTGACCTGGTGCCTATATAGAACTTCACCCCTACGTTCTAGTGCCTTTTGAATGGGACAGCATTTTTCAGGCTACGAAAGAGAAACTTAAAACACCAACCCACTCACAAAACCTGTAATCTACAATGCAAAATGAATTCATACTTTGATTTTTGTTCAAGTACAGTGGAAACACAGAATGAATGCTGAAACAGATATGAAATACTAAAATCTTACAGAGTCTTCTCTTTAGCTGTTTCTGTGCTTTTCTTCTTTGTGTGGTCCAGCTCAGGTTGTGGACATGGAACTAACTTTATGGGATCTTTATTGGATCTCTATTGCAGTTCAAATTGTCTTTGCCCAAACCTGATCAACTCAGTTCTAAGCCTTAGAGAACACATGTTTGAACTTCCCCAAGTTGTTCTCTGGCCTCAACATGTCCACTTTCATCCCCTCAAAAAATACTAAATAAATAAGAATTAATTTTAAAACTAAATAATTCAGTAGTTTGCACATGGAAAACTCAAATTATATTACTCAGAGGGAAAAGTATTAATAACACTAACCACATCCACATTGGCTGTTCTGTAGTGTTTTGAAGATGGTGGACTTGAAGTGGGAGTCATCATGTTCTCTTGGGTAAAGTGGTTTCCCAAACACTTGTGAAAGTTTGCCACACGGGGACACTGAGCGGCAAGTATGTTTAGTAATGACATGTTGTTCTGAGTCACCATGTATAACTGGGAGATGACATCCTTCAGCTGAGCTTGGGTCCTGTGAAGAATTAGAGGCAAATAGTATCTCATTATCCCCTAATCAATTCATTGGTCATCTGTCTCCCATACAGCACCACACAATGAAGAAGGAAGTATTTGGAAGCACCATATGAAATACTCCTGACTTCATGCCGTGTTCATATTTGCCTGAGCTGTGAGCGTGCTTTTGTGGAGATGATGGATGCTCAAAAGAACTGTTTGTGTCTAGGTTTTCTCTAGCGGGAATGATTAGGATCAGGGTCAAGGTAAGTTGCCCAGTGGTTAACAATATCCAGAAGGGGCCATCAGTCATCCTTGACATGGAAAGTTCATGTTACAACAGTCTAGAAAATACTCAAGTGCTCAACAATCACATTTCAGGGAATGCTGACAAGCAAATTTGTGGCAATGTAAGTATATTGATGCTTTTTAGCATCAACAAATTTATTGAAAAAAATCTTAAAAAAAAGGAGAAACATGGGAATACTAAGAGAACACAACAGTATATATACCAATAAAGGAGAAATGTTATCCAGATTAGTTTTCTACACCTCAGTTAATTTGTCATTATTGATTTTCAATACTATATTTTCTAGTGAGTCTTTATGTCTATAATATACTATATTGTTAAAATACACTGAATTACTATCCTACATGATTCTTTGACTTGACTCACTCCCTCAGTTTATATGATTGATGAAGTTTGTTACAGCTGTCCAGCGTCAATACATCAGCACGAGTTTGAATCTTTATTTCAGAGATTGTGCTTTGCAGACTTTGAATTCTGAATTCCAGCTGTCTCATTACTGAAGTAGTATACATTTCTCTGAAGTTATTAACAAATTCTTGACCTATTTGTATCTGAAAAATTAAAAGGTTTGAGAAGTTATACATTTAAATAACCATAATATAAGTAACAAGGCATTACATTTCTGCAGTTCTAGTCAATAATTTTGCTGGAACTGTAAATGTGCTGAAAAAATGGTAGGCTGTAAAATTTTTCCTTGTTTACTGCATTTAATCAAAATTACAAAATATTGATTCATTACTGTGTGTGCGCACACATCTGATTTCAGTTGCCTAAGTCTGAAGGAGATTTGAACACTTATTAATCAATGTATCATTCCATATTTCCTTTCCTTGGTAAGCAAGTAAAAAAGGATTTTGAAATGATTTTGATGAAAGAAATGATGAGATGATGTCGGGATTAAACCACAAGTGTGAGCATCTTGGACCCAACTCTCTTTGTATTACACTTGTTCAAATGGGAAGAGCAGCAGGCCAAACCACAATGCTTTACATACCCCACAAGTTGCCTGGAAGACTTAAGTCCCAATAATCAAAAGCACCGCTGCAGCACAAGAAAGCTCAGTCAACAAAGGTCATAACGTAGCTGCGGGAAGACTGCTAATCAGAACTGCAGGAACCTAGCTGTCATCACGTATGGAAACCAGTTCATGGTTTCCATGCACTGAAGAAGTTTTCACAGTGGAGTATTGTACTGTCCATTCCCATAAACAAAGTGCATAAATGTCAGGGTTCTGCTCTTTATAGTCTTTTATAAATCAGCATCCAAGAATTATATAGACCAATGGCTGGAGGACTCTAAGCTCCTTGAAAGCTAATGAATAAATGTTAATTGAAAAATATTTTTTAAACCTTAAAACTAAGGGAGTCCATTTTTACTACAGTCCCTTGCCCTAGCAGCTATTTCAACAGTTATTAATTCCTTTTTTAAGATTCCAAGGAGAAAAACACATTTCTTGGGAAGCAATTATTAATAGCGATTATGATCATTAGGTCTTCAAAATTATTATAATTAATTCCACAAACCCATTGACAGGGTCAGATTCCAAGATAAATTCAGAAATGTACAAAGTGTTACATTTTTGAAAGATTTGTAAACTATAACAGTACTCAAACAGGTATCTGGACACCGATTTCCAGTATAATTCTTTGTCAGAATGAACAAAATGTAAAAATAAAATTAGAATGCTTATCATTGAATGAAGATAGTGAAATATTGCATATTTGAAACTTTGTTTTAAAACAATGGCAATCTTTTCTATTAACATATTACTATCAATATAGTTAATTATATGGATTTGGTCAACTTGTTTATAATTGACAGGACTTTCACTAGTAGTAACAATATGAACACAACAAACATTTTTATCCATCAGAATTCTACTATTGTCCGCAAATATTCCTACATCCAAGAACTAGAGAAAGAAAATTTCCAATTCAGAGTGGTGGAAATTAATAAAAGGCTGATTTACAAGACTGTGAGATCTTACCAAACTATTATCTTTTCTTAATAGTTTTTTCTCGAGTTGTTCTATGGTCTCTGCTTGCTTTTTGACAGTTTCTTCTAGCTTGAAAATTTCTTGTTCAACCCTAAAAGACATATTTCTATTAATTACTCTGAGATTAAATATCAAATCAGCAAAAATGTGAGAAGCATTTGAATCTGGGCCTGATTGCATGTATTTCTGATGAAATGTTAGAAAGTGGGTGATTTGCTAAATGCGTATAATTTCCATCTGGGTTTTGTAGCTGCTGTGAAGAATGCAGTTGTGGTGTGAGCAATTAGACATTAGCTCTCTTTTGTTTTGTTTTGCTGGGGATTGAACCCCAGGCTGTTAAGCTTGATCACTTCACATCCTCTAACTCTCACTGCAAATAATGCATGGAAGACTTTTCCAGATTCCAAACAGATACACATATCATACAGGTTATATTTTCAGTATTACATAGCTTATTCATATTAAAGCATTCAAGCACTTATGTGTACTACTTTAAGACATACTTTTGCAGGTGTTCCTTCACCATCCTGTCACTCTCTTCAGCCTGTGCCTCTTGATCCCGTGTTTCTTGCAACTAATAGAAAAAAGACAGGACATATTACTACTCAGGCACAAATCTGCTCACCAACTGCCCGTGTGCTGAGATCCTACACTACCTTTATCCTTGTTTTTCAATTTGAAATCATTTTTTTCAGATAGTGCCTCACTACGTAGTCTAAACTGATCTGAAACTTGCAATTCTCCTGGTGTCCACTTCCTATGTGCTGTAGTCAAGCTATATATCACCACATTCCGTATTTGAAATAATCTTCAGAAGTTCAAATTGACAAGGTTGGTATCATGGGCAAAATTGGAAGACATCATTATGGTAAGCATTTCTTTTATATTCAAAACATGTCTTCATTAATTATAGCTTGAAAATTTCATACACCGATTAGCAGAGATAGACTAGTGAAATATATCAGTCTCCTATTGGGTAACTAAAGACTTCATGGGATCATGTAAGAGGCAGTGTCTGCAGAGATGAAATGACTTAATGTGTAGGTCCATAATCACTGGTCATGTGGAAGGAAATGGCAATAGGGTGGGAGGCTGGGGGGATGGTGGAAGGGTGCGGGAGGAGGGGAGGGAGAGGGAACTGGGATTGACATGTAAAACAAGCTATTTAAAATTAAAATAATAAAAAAAATCTAGGAAAAAATAATATCTAACTCAATGGATTTCAGAGAAGATTGAACTAGGAAACTATGTAAAGAATTTAGAGGGCCATGGATATATCAGGAACTGTCCACCTTTAGCTTTAGAATCAGGGTTGTGTTAGATGTTCTACCAGAATTTGATATTTTAGGCAGAATGTGTGAGAAGAGAAGAGGTCATATACATGCTGCACTCTGTCATGCTTCACACCATTGAGAGGGACAGGAATGAGAATGTGTGACTTTGTGTAAATCCCAGAACTTCATCAAACTCAGCTGTTCTGTTAGCTGGAACTCCTCTTTCACTCATAATGATCCTCACTATCTTTCAGTAGTAGATTGCTCGTGGTTCAGTGAATGGCCCCACTCTTCTGTGCATGTGAGCAGAAGCAACTGGATTAAGTATGATATTATAAATGATAATGATAATAATAATAGGCATGAGGGATAGAGAGATGGCTCAGCAGTTTAGAGCACCTGCTTTTCTGCCACATGACCTTAGTTTGCTTTCAAGAACCCAAGTCCGGTGTCTTACAACACTTTGTAATTAGGCTCCAAGGGATCTGACTATGTAGATAAATGCATGTGTGCGCATGCACGCGCACGCGCACACATGTACACACACACACACACACATACATGGGCAGGGGAGAGAGAGAGGAGGGAGGCAGAAAGAAATGATAAAAATAAATGTTTAACGGTTAAAGCATATGATGCTTGGAGGGGCATATGTCTAGAGGGACTTGGAGAGGAGAGTGAGGATAGATACACTCAAATACATTGCATAGGCTTATAGAATTATCCCACATTAAGTGAAACATAATAAAAAACAATAGAAAGTTCTTAGTTCTTTGGTGTAGGTAAGCATGCTTTGGGACAACCTTTTCAAAAAAACTTGTAAATCTAGATAGGACATATTTCAATAAAAATACTTAAAGTAATATTTATGTGGATTAAACCCAACTTACTTTCCATTTTTTCACTTGGTAAGCGTATATATAAAGCAGGACTTGAGGGCCAAGATTTACAATAAATAATTTATAAATTAAAATCTCAGAGTTTAATTTTCAGGGAGCATAAATACAGTACACTTTCATGGCACACATCAATGTTCTGCTTAAAAGTGTCCTGCATGCACAGCAGAGCCCACAGGAGATGGTCCGGCATAATGGTACAGCAGACATCTCAAAGTCATGCAAGCAGAGACTTACAGTTTCATACAGTGCTCAAAATTCCAAGCTATCTATTTCCTGATCATGTTCTTAATCTTAAAGATTATAAGTCACACTACTGACAAAAATTAGAAGTATGATTTTCGCCAGTAAATTTACCTTCTTCATATCATTTCTGAGATGCCTCAGTTCCACATCTTGTAACATAAAAGAAAAGGAAAATATAAAAGTATATAAAATGGAAAATACACAGAAAGTCTGGATACTGTGTACAGTTGTGGTGTCTTTAAATTGTTTAAATGTGGGAACACCAGACCTTGAACAGAGACCCACTTCCCCTTCTGCCTGGGAGTAGGCAGCTGTAAGACAATGTTTAGTAAAAACATGTTTACTAAAAATGATACAATAAGTTCCTGGAAAAGGCCTTCCCACGGAAACCGCCCTGACCTCGACCTTGTCCAAAGACTAACCGCACCTTCAAAAACCCACACACATCCACCTCTGGGGTCAGAGCAGAACCAGCCAGGGTAGAGGAGAGAGCAGAAGCTTCTCTGGTGGGAGCTTTTCTTAGGAGGTTTTCTTGAACCTTTTTGGAGCCTGTTTAAAGTTTTCTTTATATCATTGAACGAGTCTCTGTGTTGTCAATCCCCGACACCCTCTGCACGTTCTCGGACACAGGCCACGCAGCAGACGTGACAATTGGAGGTCCTACCGAGATCGTAAAAGTAAGGTAAGTGGACAGGGTCGCCCCTTTTGCCAGCCAGGGACAGATGGAGGAAAATAGGAAAAGAAACAATGGGAAATAGTCCCTCGAAGTTTAAATTACAGTATCACGTAAAAAAGTTGCTTGAAGAACAGGGGACTACAACCATGGCAGGCTTTTTAAAATGGATTGAATGAGGGAGCCCATGGTTCATTACTGGGGAAGGCTTAAATGTCCCAGATTGGGAGGATGTTTGCTATGATATTCAGAGAGCCGGGTGTTGGTGGCATACGCCTTTAATCCCAACACTCAGGAGGCAGAGATAGGAAGGAATGAGGCCATCCTGGTCTATAGAGCAAGTTCCAGGACAGCCTCCAAAAGGATAGAGAGAAACCCAGTCTCAAAAAAAAGAAGAAAAAGAAAAAAGAAAAAGAAAAAAGAAAAAAAAAGAAATAAAAAAAGGGTAAAATAAGAAATAAAATAAAAAATCTCCAGTCTTTCGCCTGATCCACTGAGGTCAGGAAAGTAAAGGGGAACTGAGAGATCTAAAAGGCTGGCCAGTAAGGCTATGCGGATGTGTTAAAAAGGGGTACCAAGCTAGGGGTACTGGATTAAATCTCCAGGCCTTCGCCTGACAAAGGTCAGGAAAGTAAGGGGAATCTGAGAGATCACCCTCAGTTGGAGGATGGATTAAAAGTGGGTAAATTGAAAATTGGTAACGGTTAATAAAGGAGGTACTGGTATTAAGTAAAAGAAAAAGAAAAAGACAAAGGTATATGGAATGGAAAATTTTGTTTACATTTAAGTTCTATTTTGTGAGTCATCTCTAAAAACTTTTGGCCAAAAGCCTGGCCTCTCCACCTTGCATCTACAGAATTATAAGGAGTAGGTACGGCTGTACCCCATGACTATAGCTCAAATGGAGGAATGATAAAGAACATACAGGACTTTTTAACCCTTTTAGTTCAAGGATTGGCTGTAGTTGTTCTTTTACATAGATTTCAATTAAGGGAGCTTCATTACAACAGACTAATCATGACCTAGGGAAAAAGGATGACTAAAAGATGCATGTATGTTCTGAATGTATGGTGTGGCCACACCGGTATGTATGAAATGTGATTGTGAATGCGTGAGTGTGAACTGCTTATATGATTAAAAGGATACTTAAATCCCTTCAAAAATAGTTCAGAAGCTACCTAGATTGCTTTAAATATAGCCAAAAGGAACGTCCAGCCAGTCTGTTAATGTTTTAACAGAAAAATTTAAGATGCAAATGAGGCCTTGTTAGCTAGTGAGAGCTCTACAGGTTAGATTGGGAAAGACTGCTCACAGACTTCAAATAATTTACAAAAGTTATTTGGACACAGTATAGTTTACAATCTTTGAGTGATTTTCAGAAGTTTTTGGGAAATATTTAATGGATATGTCCTTTTTAATGGGCATCTACAAATAATCTAAGTAATAATCCCAATTTACCTAGATAATTAACCAAGGAGGGTAGACAAATCCTTCTACTGTTATGGTCCAGCTTCAACAGTTCAAAAAATTTTTTTTAGAAAATAAAAAAGGGGGAATAATGCCCCCAGCCCCCACATGACTCATCAAATAATACACTCCTCATTTAAAAATTTTATAATGTGAATGCCAGTGAGCTTCAGACAGATTCTGGCATGATGGAACTTGAGCAACCATTGCTCAGGTCAAATGGAGACATCCATGCACTAGACAGTGGAGAAGACCCTAATTTGGGGTCGAGGGCATGTTTGTGTTTTCTTGCAGGAAAAGAATAAAGCTTCGGCAGCTGTCAGACCATTTAGTGAGATGCATGGAGCAGAGAAAAACTGGACCTGAGACCATGGGAGCCTACCTAAGCCAGTTTGAGTAAGATCTCCTAAATCAGTGTTCCTGACCCTTGATGTCATCGAATCTAGAGCCCAAGAAAGAAAGAAAACAGTCGGTTCGAGATTTCCAGTTTCTCAACAGACCGGCTGCATCAACCTTCTGGACCCATGAGTTTTCATCATGAAGCCAACAGAGAAAAAGACCCATTTAAAGCATTTGGACATTGGTATGGACTATGTTGAGTGGCAAAAGCCTCTTTTCAGTATTTGAACAGGACATGGTCACTTGAAATATCAGACTTGATGGTTCCTGTTTCTAGAATCACGACTAGGCCAGTGTATTTTTCTGGAGAAATGCAACTTGTCCTAATGTGACAACTATTGTTCATATTTTTCATAATGCTACATGTGTAACATCAATGATTGTGCCCAATGTATCTGTGCAAGTGCACTTTCTAAATGCTTTCCTGAGCAGATCTTGAAACGATTGTAAACTTTATCAAATTGTAAATGTAAATCACATGTGGGTTACCCTTGTAACAGAATGTAAATCACGTGCATGTTACCCTTGTAACAGATGAAGGCTGGTAGAATGTTATGGCCCAGATCTGGTGATGGGTATGGTGATGGAGAGGCGCTATGTCAATGGGGGTCCTGGAAATGGTGGCAGTGGTGGTAGGCATTCTGGCTTTATGCCGAGCTCAAACGTGCCTTGTTCCAGAGACAAGAGATCTGTAACCAAGTATTGCTTAGTTTAGCCCATGGCAATCCCGATAGCCATGAAGGTTGGTTACAGATGATTTAAGGTTGGGGTATCTCCGATGACGGGCAACCTGTGGGGAAGACCCCTCCCACCTAAAACAGGGGTTCAAGGTCCCCCAAAGACGGGAAAGGGAGGGTGACCCTACTTGACCTAAGCCAGGAGTGCCTCATTTGAAAAAAAAGGGGTGAATTGTGGGAACACCAGACCTTGAGCAGAGACCCACTTCCCCTTCTGCCTGGGAGTAGGCAGCTGTAAGACAATGTTTACTAAAAACATGTTTACTAAAAATGATACAATAAGTTCCTGGAAAAGGCCTTCCCACGGAAACCGCCCTGACCTCGACCTTGTCCAAAGACTAACCGCACCTTCAAAAACCCACACACATCTACCTCTGGGGTCAGAGCAGAACCAGCCAGGGTAGAGGAGAGAGCAGAAGCTTCTCTGGTGGGAGCTTCTCTTAGGAGGTTTTCTTGAACCTTTTTGGAGCCTGTTTAAAGTTTTCTTTATATCATTGAACGAGTCTCTGTGTTGTCAATCCCCGACACCCTCTGCACGTTCTCGGACACAGGCCGCGCAGCAGACGTGACAATTAGAAGTATGAATTTTCGCCAGTAAATTTACCTTCTTCATATCATTTCTGAGATGCCTCAGTTCCACATCTTGTAACATAAGGCACATTTCAAGTTGCTGTTTTTCTTTTTGATGCTGGTCTTCTTTTTCAGTTAATTGTTTCTTAATTTTTTCATAGAAATAAAGAGCATTTCTTTGTTGTGCTTCTTGTTCTCCAGCCAATCTGTAAATTGAACAGGCTGGCATTACAATTCATTTTGGTAAAAGTAAGCTTATTTGATTATTGCACAGTATTTATGTTGTCAGACACTTTCCTTTACAATGTCATCCCTACTTTCACAAGTCAGTCACTTCAAAGGACACATGGGATAGAAAGAGTATAATCAAGGACTATTCAGGAAATTGATCAGATTCTGTTATTAGCAATTCTGTGACTACAGAAAAGGATCTTTTAAATTTTCAGTAAAGTGAAAGGTTGAAAATTAAATTACGTATACATTTTGTTGCTGCTGCTAAAATATTGTCTTTGTTAAATACTAATAATAAGCTTTTTAGAATTAAAAAATGGAATTCTCATTGCTGCTTAGTAGGAAAACAGTTTGGACAAATAACCTAATTGCTTCTTCAAAGGCACTATGTGCTATATAAACTAAAATTATATATATATATGTATAACAAAGTAAAATTTTATATATATAATTTTTAACTATACACACAGAGTTTTAGTCAGAGCAGTTAAGACAAGAGAAATAGTTTAAAAGGGTTGAAAACAAGAAAGGAAGATGTAAAAATACCCATTTGCAAAGGACAAAATCCCATATTCTAATATAATTCTAAAATTAAGTACCAACCCTGAAATCATTCAACCAACAAATGGTCTAATGAGCTTAATAGATGTTTCTCAAAAAATGAGAAACACAGAAGTCCGTAAGGCAATGCAGCACTGAAAATTTTTCTTCTGAAAACCAGTAGTCTGCTCTGGCTTTTCACACTCCTTTAACATAAGTAAGTAACCATACCCCACACCAAGGAGTTCTAGTTGCTGCTCTTCATTTTTCCAGCTGAGCTGGGATTTTGCCTTTTCTGTTTCTTGTGGCTTCTGTAACACTTCACTAACTGGGTTTTTCATTTTCTTACTTTTTTCTGTAAGTGACTCTGAGTGACTTTGGTTATGTTCCAGTATCATTTTATATGAATGATTTGCATCCTGGGTTTCTAACAGTCTTCCAGAAGCTACATCAGGAAAAGGGAGAGTAGTAATTAAACGCACGAGCACTTTCTGCATACAAAGGTTTGAATGTTTTAATATTCTGTCATTCATGGCAAACAAATGCAGACTGAATGACTATAGTATGAAATACATTATACTAAGATTTTTCAAATAAGGAAGGCTAATTAACTGCTTTTATTTAGCTCAAATCTGATGTATAAAACAGATAAAATGACCATTGTGAATTTAGATGAATGCTATGCCAAAGCAGAGTCCTGGGGTTCCATAGAGTATCTTTTTGCTATGGTCAGGAAGATTTTCCACAGGGAGAGATTGCTACACTAGGAATTAGAGAGCGAATAGTAAACATCTGTTCAGAAGGTGAAGAAGATCCTAGCTAATCTAGATAGTGGGCTTGGACTTTGTGGCAATAGCCTTGTAAGCAAGAAAGAGAAATAGACTCTCTTGATACTGTTGCACACAGAAATAAAACACTAAGAAGAATTTGAGAGTTGGAATATGGAATATAGGGTGATATATGTGCATGTGCATATGTATATATGGAGGGAGGGAGGGAGAGAGGGGGGAGGGAGAGAGGGGAGAGAGAGAGAGGGAGGGAGGGAGGGAGAGAAGGAGAGAGGGGAGAGAAGGAGGGAGGGAGAGAAGGGGGGAGGGAGGGAGGATGTGCTCTTTTAACAGAACAACAGTGCCCCAACTAAACACGGCAGGTTAACAAATAAGAAGCCCAGTGCCGGGAATGAATTAACTCTTTTGGAACTGTTGGCCAGTGAAGACCCATAGACCACAAAACATTACAAGCTATTGCCGATGATATGATTGTCCTGCAGAATTAGACAGTCAGGCCCTATTTCTAAAGATACCATGAAGTTGAGTCAAGAATTTAGACATATTAAGCTATTGCTGATTTGGAAGATTAATCCCTATTGGCTAGCTTTCATAGTACTGGAGGGTATTACGTATGCATGGTTCCAGAGGAGAAAATCACCAGTCTTATTCAGCTGTGAATCCCGAGAGCTATAATCAGCATCTGGCCTAGAAAGATATGCTGAGTGGTGCAATAGTGACATGAATGTCACCGGAGTAACCAGCCACCCTCTGACTGCTTTTAATCCTTACTCCACAAAACGAAACACACATCTGGTACCATTTCTAGGCCAAGAAGTCGTAGGTCTTAAGAGAGAATCTATTACACTGTTATCTGTATATAGTATTAAGTCTACTCATAAAACTTCTCACTATACCCATTGATTAATGCACTTCTCAACCCTTCGTGCTTTGGACAGACTCACAGTGAGGGAGGGCAAAAAGAAGGGGCAGAATTATGCTGAAAATGTGTTAACTGATTTAAAGTTGCATGCATTGTGGCTACAGACAAATCAGATACAAACAAAATGTTGCAATTATTAAAGAAATTAATTTTCTCACTGAAAAAATAGAACTTGAGGAAGACACCAGAAGATGAAGAGCATGCTCAAACCCACAGAATATTACAATTTACTTTATAAAACAGATGATACATTTCTGAAAATGACTTGCAAAGTAGTACAATCTCCTCCTGAATCCCAGTGAAATTTCTAACAGAATGATAAAAAATGTAGAATTCAAAAGGAATACAAAAAGCCAAAGTAAATCCAAGGAGCAGTATCAATGCCAACTTACAGTTATGCTACAGGGCCACAGTAAGAAAATGGAGCGGCTCTGGCAAACATAATAGAAAGAAGAGGAAAGGGTTCCAGAAATGGCCCCAACCTGATATAGACTCCTTACTTCTAGTGCAATTTCCAAAAATATGACCTAGGGAAAGTCAACCTCTTCAAAAATGTTCAGAAAAAATAGTATGTTAAACATCACGCTTATGTCTCACACTACACCAAAAATCTAGATAGATAACAGTCCTCTATGGACAACCCCAAATCTGAATTTGAAGATTGCCTCAGCATTAATACCAAAGGTCTTACATTTATGCCGTAGTCTTACCTTTATATTTCATTTGAAGTTGGTCAACTATCATCAATATATTGTCATAATCAAGCAAAACATCATCCTCAGAGACTGATTTGGACAACTGGTGACCATACATAGCATCCAGGTGTTCTACAGCCTACAAAATAAACAATATACTATTGGGAACATCCTAAAATGCTTATACTATATGGCAAAAGTATCAATATATTAGCTATACATCATTGTGGTTAGGATTACTTGTAGATATGAAGGGAACTGATTTTTTCAAAACACTATCACTGCTTCAATATAAATTTCAGCAGATTTTAGATCTTTTTAGTCTTAATGATGTATTTCACACATACTTTATAATGTATATCTTCCTTTGTAAATTATTTTGAGCAAAATACTGTTTTAAATTTGCTTTTACAGTACCTTATTCTTTTCATCACGTGTTTTCTTATTCAGCCTACAAAGAAGATAGAAGTGTCTGTTCAATATTTAAATATGAAAAGCATAGATAATATTGAAAACTATTATGTTTGTAGAAAACCCATACATTTATTATTTATCCTACTCAAAAATTCAAAAATTATTTCAAATATGATAGGCTTCTATAAGGGAGGTCCTGTCAAAACAGAAAGTAACATTAAGGAAAAAAACATCACTAAAAATCATTTAGATAATTAAATTCTGAACAAACTTTCTGACAGTGAATGAAACAAGAAAATATGACAATACTACTATTATTTTGTGGAAAGTAATATGTTGAACTTTTATTATTATCACTTTCATAAAAATAAATCTTTATGAATGCTAATCCCAGTTGAAGAATAACACATAAAGCCCCAAAGATAGGAGTTAACTTGTTCGGGACCTCCACTGCCATCTAAATTAAGTTTAATTCTCCTGACAAGTATGTGTGGCAAATGACAGTGCTTTACAAATGAAAGGACTAGGCAAAGAAAGACTAAGGATGTTCACTAAGTGCAGAGAACTGAAGAGCTATAGCCAATAAATGGGTCCTGTAATGTGGAATCAATTTTTCTCAGGGACAACCTCTTTGATAGGCTATCCAATCCCAAGTGGTCACCTATAAACACATGTAGTGTGAACAACACTAAATGGACTCAGCAGTATGCATTTATGCATGTGACAATAATAATTATGAAGAAGTTTTGAACTTGAGGAGGAGTTGGGAAACAATGGACGATTTGGAGCAGGGAGAAGGAAGGGTGAGGGCAATGTAAATATAGTACTCATGTACGAAAATCTCAAAAAAGTAGAAAAGTTTACATATAAAAATGTATAATTCGAGGGCACTTCCACTAAGCAACTATAACTATACAAAGTAATTATTTGTATTAAAATATGAATTTTATAGTAATAATAAAAATGCATAAATAGGCTAGTTTACAAGCTGAGCTTATTTTAAATATATATGAAAGTACTATGGAAAGAAAACAAACCCTAACAAAATATGTTTACAAAGGAGAATATAATGTATTAGCAGTATTTTGTACTTAGCCAATATGTCACTGAATTAGTCCCAGTGGACTGCATTTAACCATTTATTTGCCAGTAGTTGTTTCTGCCAACCATTCCTTGTGGTGCTGGGGATTTGAACCAAGGGCAGCCCCATATGACCCAAGCACTTAACTATATTCTGACACTTGAAAATACTGTAGTTAAACAATACTATCCACATTATTCAGTTGTTATCTCTAGTCAATTTTGGACTTCAGCAACAGACAATTTAATGCTCGCAAACACTAAAACGTTTACTATCTAGTTGTTTACAGAAAAAACCATCCCCTGGTGGTTTAGAACATTATGTAAGTTTCTTCCCTTATTGCTGTGATAAAGACCTAAAGAGTTAGTTAGGGGAAAAAGGGTTTAGGGTTGGTCAAGGGTTCATGGCAGCTCCCTTTCTCCCCTCCAGCACATTGGACGGTGTTGCCTACAGTAATGTCAGGTTTCTGGTAACCTAATCTACATAAATGTTCACAAACAGGCCCATAGGTGTTTGCCTCTTCATTATTGCACATCCTGACAAGACAACAGTATAACTATGACTACCCCATCCCTTGTCAACTTGACACTCAAATATGTGACTGCTAATTAGAGTCTTTGTTATGTACTCACAAAAGACCTGATTGTGGAAGCTAAGCTGTGGGTATAAAAGTTATTGTGAAAGAGACATGGATATCTGCTACAAATTTATCCTTCAAAAATTATTTGTCCAGTAGGGTAGTGGTGGCACGTGCCTTTAATCCTAACATTCAGGAGGCAAAGGCAGGTGGATCTCTGTGAGTTTGAGGTCAGCCTGGTCTACAGAGCAATTTCCAGGACAGCCTCCAAAGCTACAGAGAGAAACCCTGTCTGAGAAAACAAAAAGTATTTGTCAACTTCCTTTAGCAACACTGTCACAGAAAACCATCTGCCTCACCTCTTACAGCCCTGCCATTATCTTTCTGATAAAACAACATCAGTATAGTGGGCAACAATGTTACCCCATAGTATTCTTTGGTGTCAGCGTCAGACTGAACATCCCTAATAAAAGCATGAGATGTGTTAAGCATGAACACTAGGCCAAATTAGAATTAGTTTCTTAGGACAATAGCAATGATGCACTATTAAATATTATCATACTTACTCAACATGCTTTTTTTGCTGTATCAGGAAATTGGTGGTTATCAGCCTTCCCACAATGCCTTTGCAGGATGAATCCATGTCTAATACCATTACTAGAAGTGGCAGCAGCAGCAGAAGCAGCAGTAGCAGCTGCATCACCATCACCGTCATCATCACCATCGTCATCGTCATCATCACCATCATCATCGTCGTCGTCACCATCATCATCATCATCGCCATCATCATCATCGTTGTTGTCATCATCATCATCATCATCATCATCATCGCCGTCATCATCATAGGCTGTAGCAGCAGCAGCAGTAGCAGCTGCATCACCATCAACGTCATCATCACCATCGTCATTGTCACCATCATCATCATCGTCATCACCATCATTGTTGTCATCATCATCATCGTCATCGCCATCATCATCATCATCGTTGTCGTCATCGTCATCATCGCCATCATTGGCAGTGGCAGCAGCAGCAGCAGCAGCAGCAGTAGCAGCTGCATCACCATCATCGTCATTGTCGGTGGTGGCAGCAGCAGGGGCACTAGCAGTGCTGCCGTAAGATGGCTTTTCCATTGTGTCCATCCTGTTGCTGAGTCCTGTCTTCTTTTTTTGTTTAAGCTGCAATAGAAGTACGCTACTAAGAACTCTGAGACCTAATAAGAATAACTTTGTTTTCATCAACTTTTGTCACTTAACCCAATTCCATTTTCATCATTTTAATTAACAAGACCTGTTTTTGTGTGTAGTTCAATAGTGTCATTAAAGTATTTTTCACCTCATAGTTTTCTTTTGAATCACTGTTTTCTGAGTAAAATGTTCACTGTCTGTAAGACGCATCTGTGTAAAAAGACATGTGTGTATCTGTGACAGTTGTGTAGCTTGATCTATTTGTGAAGCTCTAACAAAAGGAACAGGGCCTGTCCTTAATACTTTGGCTGACTCTTGGGAACCTGTTCCTCATACTGGATGTCCTTGCCAAGCTTTAATACAAGGGGAGGAGCTTAGTCTTACTTCAACTTACTATGCCTTGTTTTGTTGCTACCCATGGGAGACCTGTCTCTTTCTGAACAGAAACAGAGGAGAAATAGATGAGGAGGGGTGGAGGGGAGATGGAGAGAATGAGAGGAGAGATGGGAGGGGAACTGGTCAGGATGTAAAAAAAAATAGACACCTTTTGGGTTTTCCTAGCAAGATTTCATCTCATGTTACTAAACGTCAATTTAGAGAATTCAAATATTGTGTGGCTCCAGTAGCAAATGATTGCTTTAACCTGAATTAATATCCTATTTAATATGCTTCTTGGAAGACAAAAGGCTGAAGATGATCCAGGAATCAAGTGTATGTGAGTTTTCATGCTCCTCTAGCCGATGTGTGATCAGCTGTGTAATATTTTTCATTTTCATTGTCCTTGTTTGATGAACAGTTCCTCTAGAGTTTATACTTGAGGAGCAGCTAGATGTACAGATGACACCTCTGTCACAATCTGTACTTAGTTCAGATTCCTGAGAAATTTTCTTTTTTTGTGTGATTTGTAGAGGCAGGGCTTCTCTGTGGCTTTGGAGGCTGTCCTGGAACTAGCTCATGTAGACCAGGCTGGTCTTGAACTCACAGAGATCCTCCTGCCTCTGCCTCTCAAGTGCTGGGATTAAAGGCGTGCACCACCACTGCCCGGTGAGAAATTTTTCTTGTTGAAGAAGGAATTATAAACATTAGTTTGATTTGAATCTTAAGTACACTGTTAAGGTAAGTTTTAAAAAAAACTAAATTTACAATTCACTTTAAATAAAATAAATTCAGCCTTAAGTAATCATGGTCATGGTAAAAGACAAACTAGGAAACTGAATGAAATTCATATTTTAAGCTTCATATTGTATTTTTTTATCCTACAAACACACCGAAAAAAAGTGAAATTTACCTTAGTCTAAGTATGAGTTAAAATCTAAACAGCAATCTTAACTCTTAACAATTCTGGAATGAACTTAATCGATTGTGTGAAATTAACCAAAATTAAGTTAAGTGGCTGTAACACTATAAAGGCTTTTCCTGTAAAAAAAATTATATACAATATCTTTAAGTTGTGAGCAATTACAGTGAATTTAAGCCATTTATCCAAAGTTCTATAACTGGAGACTAAGTGAATTTTAAACTAGTTAGGAACCAAAGTCAATTCAGCCTCAAAAGAAATCAAATTCCTCCATTGTAATTCAAATTGTATGCTATGATAGTCTTTTGTACCAATATGGGTTATCTGTATGAGTTCAATCTGCTATATTATTATATCTACTCTAGTAGCCAGATTACAACTGTTGGAAAAAATCCCCAAATGTGTACATTGAAATGAAATACATTAGGATGCCATTCTTTACATCAAAATATCAACTGTCCCTAACTGGAAGGTGTCATAGTCTTATCCTAGATAGCTGAATTGATTTTATGACTCAGTTTCTTATAGTATAAATGTTGAAGCCAGTCACTGACAAGAAGGAAAAACTACATTTTTGATATTGCAGATACTGAATGCTAATAAGAATTAGCACAATTTGACCTGATAGGAGTGATTACTCAAACCATAAACACAACTCAGTTGCTATCCGTTGTTCACAGTGTCAGTTAGCAGTAAGATCTGAATATGATGTTACTTTATCATGGAAGGAGGCATATACATAGAATGCAAAAATTCAAAATTTTCTCCTCACTTCAAAGGAAAAACTTCTTAAAATTTTTATGAATATTGTAGTTATATATACATATATTTCAGCATTTTCAAATTAAATATTAAACATTATCTATAAATTCTTCAGTGAAGTATGAAATGTTATTCCACTCAGTCTATGCTACATTATTAAACAAAGTGCATTAAATGAGAATTTTAAATTGAAAAATTACACACCAGTGGTTGACTGTTACTGTTGCTGTCATACTTCTTCTGTTCTTCTCTGGATGTCACATGTAAGTTTGGTTCTGCTGAAAACCCAAACATTTAAAACAAAGTACAAAAAAAAGTTCAATCAAACGACAGTCTTTATAACAACATAGAGTTGCAAGATGACTCTGCAAGTAAAGAAAGATACTTGCTGACAATACTAATGACCTGAATGTGATGTCCACTACCAACATAGTGGAAGGAGAGAACTGACTCCTTCAAGCTGCAATAATGTGCCCCTGTCACCCACAAAAATATACATATAATAAATTATGAACAAATGAACACATGTAAAAACTTGAAAAGCAAAGTTTTGTTTTCAAAAGAATTTGAATCAGTCCAGTCTTTATTGTTACTCCCCTTTCTTGGGCATACACTTTTAAACAAATATTGGGAATTACCAAACACACCAGCACTCCACTTAGGCAGACACTACACTGTATTACATTTAGAAGCAAAAATTTATCAGTGATCAGTGAGACAACTTTTTGTGTTTGTTTTTTTGAGACAGGGGTTCTCTGTGTAGTGTTAGTTATCCTCAGTTGGCCTGGAACTCACTCTGTAAACCAGGCTAGCCTCAATCTCACAGAGATCCACCTGCCTCTATCTGCTAGGATTAGAGGTGTACATTACCAATAACAGGATGGAGACAACATTTTAAATACAACAGAAACATTCAAAACCATCACACATATAATTTTCACCATTGTCTATCTCAGCATTGATACAGAAACAATCTGCCTTTTTTCTTTTCCTTATTTAGAAACAATCTTATTTTACACATCATCCCTCATTCCCTCACCCTCCCATCTTTCCATGCCCCCTACCACTCTACAAGGATAGTGAGGCCTTTCATGGGGGATCATCAAAGTCTGTCACATCATATGGGAGAGGGCCTAGGTCCTCTTTCATGTATCTGGGCTGCAATAGTATCCCTTCATAGGGAATGGGCATCCAAAGTCCATTTGTGCACTAGGGATAAACATTAGCTCCACTGTTAGAGGTCCCACAGACTGCCCAAGCCTCCTAACTGGCATCCACATTGAGAGAGCTTGGTTCAGTCTAATGCTGGTTCCCCAGTTTTAAAGCTAGGGTCTCTGTGATCTCATTGAGTCAGGTCAACTGTTTCTGTGGGTTTCTCCAGCATGGTCTTGACTCCTTTGTTAATCCCTCTTCCCTCACTACAACTGGATTCCAGGAGTATGGCTCAGTGTTTAATTTGGGTGCCTAATTCTGCTTTGATCAGCTACTGGATGAAGGCTCTAGGAATGGCAAACAAGGTAGTTATCAATCTTATTATAGGGGAAGGGCACCAAAGGCAGCCTCTTCACCACTGTCTAGATGCTTAGTTGGGGTCATACCTGTGGATCCCTGAACATTTCCCTAGTGCCAGATCTCTCTCTAAACCTATCAAGGTATCTCCTTTCTTGCTCTCCTCCCTCCCTCTCTCCTCCCATTCTCGTTTTCCTACCTTTCTTCTCTCTCCTTCCGTACACCTAAGTTGCTCAGGGGTTCTTGTCCCTTTCCCTTTCTTTGGGGGACCATGTGTTTTTTCTTGGGGTCCTCTTTGTTTCCTAGTTTCTCTGGTAGTGTGGATTGTAGGCTGGTAGATCATTGCTCTATGTCTAATATCCATATATGAGTGGTAATGCTAACCAAACAAGTAAAAGACCTGTTCAGCAAGAACTTTGTGTCTTTAAAGAAATTAAAGAAGATACCAGAAAATGGAAAGATCTCCCATGCTCTTGGATAGGTAAGATCAACATAGTAAAAATGGTTTCTTGCCAAAAGCAATATACACATTCAATGAAATCCCCATCAAAATCCCAACACAATTCTTCACAGACCTTGAAAGAACAATACTCAACTTTATATGGAAAAACAAAAAACCTAGGACAGCAAAAACAACCCAGGTGGTGCACAAAACTTAAGTCCAAATGGATCAAAGACCTTAACATAAAGAAGAGAAAGTAGGAGGCACCCTTGAACGAATTGGTACAGGAGACTGCTTCCTGAACATAACACCAGTAGCACAGACCCTGAGATGGACAATTAATAAATGGGACCTCCTGAAACTCAGAAGCTTCTGTAAGGCAAAAGACACAGTAAATAAGACAAAATGGCAACCCATGGAATGGGAAAAGATCTTCACCAACCCCACAACTGGCAAAGGGCTGATTTCCTAAATATATAATGGTCTAGGCCCTGCCCTGTATGAAATGACAGACTATGGACACCCCCATGGAGGGCCTCACCCTCCCTGGGGGAATGAGGGGATAACGGGGGGGTTGGGGGGAGGGCACGGGAGGAGGGAAGGGAATGGGAGAGGGACCTGGAACTGATTTGTGAAGCAACCTTGTTTCTTATCTAAATTTAAACTGGAAAATAAAATATAAAAAAAAGCTAGCCACCAAAACACCAAACAATCCAACTAAAAAGTGGGGCACAGAACTAAAGAGAGAATTTATTTACTTGCAGATTTTTTTGGTGAGAATTCTTAATAGAGGAATCTGAAATGGCTGAAAGACACTTAAGAAAGTGCTCAACATTCTTAGCCATCAGGGAAATGCAACTCAAAACAACCCTGAGATACCATCTTGCTCCTGTCAGAGTGGCTAAAATCAAAAGCACCAATGACAGTCTATGCTGGAGAGGATGTGGAGAAAGAAGAACACTCCCCCATTGCTGGTGGGAGTACAAATTTGTATGACCTCTTTAGAAATCAGTATGGCGGCTTCTCAGGAAAATGGGAATGAGTCTACCTCAAGATCCAGCAATTCTACTCTTGGGCATATACCCAAATAATGCACATACATACAACAAGAATGTTCATAGCAGCTTTGTTTGCAATAGCCAGAACCTGGAAGCAACATAGATGCCCCTCAGCTGAAGAATGGATGGAGAAAATGTGGTACATTTACACAATGGAGTATTGCTTAGTGGAAGAAAATGAAATCTTGAAATTCCCAGCTAAATGTACGTAACTGGAAGAGTTACCATCCTGAGTGAGGTAACCCAATCACAGAAAAACTATCTGCCTTTTATATATCAAAACCAATGTTCTTTTCTCTCCTTCATCTATGGCTATGATGTTCCTTCCATCTGAAAATACTTTGTCTATATTTCTATCAAGCTTTCCTCCCCTTCTGACCTATGCATGGTAGGAAGTTGTCACTGATTGTGGCAATTTTATTCTATTAGAACAAGTATCTCTTTTGAGTTCTTTATAAATTTACCATTTTTTATTGTTACTATGGTACTTGCAATTTAAACCAGTGTTGCATGCCTACTTTTTTCATTCCTGAACTGGGAGGGAGAGAACTTTTAGTATTATTTTCGTACACAGGATCATGAATTTCTGCTTCATTTTCTTAGTACTCCTCACATTTCATGCATTTCTTTCTAATTTTGCTATTTGCATGACTCTTCATTATAGCTCAACACTTTTCAGAAGCCTGGATATTTTGAAATTGATTTAAAGTGGCATTCCCATTTGCAGCCTATGCTGAATTTGATATCAAACTTATTAGCATTTGGGTTTTATTTGAACTCACTGTTTGTGTAATAATTGGTTTTCATTGGCTCATGGCATACACCAGTGCTCTTTGTCTGAATAATTACTCTACCAAATTGCCTTCAACGAAATTGTTTTCTGACCTTTCATTTGTCCATTTGCCACCTCTTGTCTCTGATCTTCAATCCTGGAGACATGGACAGCATCCTTCTTCTGTGCATGAGGCTAAGGGAGGCTCTGTTGAAATCAGAGGCAAGAAAGATTTTAACAAGGATCTCTCATGTGTTACTGGGAAAGACAGCTTAGTTTCTTATGTCAAAGCAGCAACACTGGAAAATAAGGGCTGGTTGTATTGAAACTCCAAATCCTGTGTGGAGAGCCTCACAAGGTTATCTGTAATTTACGTAGTACTGACATTTATTTTCATGTAGGTGTAGAGTACTACATAAACCAATCACGTAAGGCTGAAGGAAACATACTCATAGGCAGTAGATGTCAACAACAGATGGTTTGAATATAAATTTATATGTTGTTTTCCTCAGTAAATTATAATACATACATTGATATCTTTAAAATTTTTTAAATTGCTTAACAGTTTCATATATTATTGAATGATTTTTTTTGAAAGGAAGACAAAGTTTTACTTTTACGTGATTACACCAAATAACATGTAACACGTTCTTGAGTCCTAGCATCTAGTAATTTGGGTTAAGATACACTAACAGCAGCCTGAACAAGCATATTGACTGTCCTAAATTAGCCAGAATGGACTACTACAAGGCTGGCTGCTGCTTTATAAGAGTTACAAATGCTATTTACTACTTTTCCATAGATAACGCCCCTGACCTTTAAGAAAGTAGAAGGAACAATTTATTTCTTCAAAGAATTGGTTTGTTTTTTACTAGACTAATAAAGGAAAAATCAACTGCTTGCACAAACACGCAGGAAACGTATATTACTTAAAGGCACATGAGGTAAAAAGATGAAACTTCAGGAACTTACTAAGTTATACAAAAAGCTAATTTGGACACTCTTAAAAAGTGAAGGTCGAGCTCTGTGGAGGTTTCCTGTTTTGTGAGGGCATCTCCCATGCTAACCCACAGAGCAGCTGCTTCCCCTCCTAGTTATGTATGCGGTAGTTTTCATGGCTCTCTGGCTGGATGTCACACACACAGTATTGCGTCCCCTTTCTGCTGGAGGTAGTTCTGGAGGACAGCCATCTTCTCCTGGGTCACCTTCTCCACCTCACTGCTACATCTGCCGTGGGACCCCAGTGCCGCAGCTTCCTTGGCCTTGAACTCCTTCCCTCTCTGCAGGCGGTACTGCTCAATCTCAGCCTGGGCTTCCTCCTCGGCCTGCTTCAGCCTCTGGTTCTTTCGCTTGCAGGACTCGGACACCTTCTCGGCCACCAACTTCTCGGCCTGCAGCAGCTGCTGGATGCCTTGTGACTGACTCATCATCGCTGTGGGGACCCTCCGCGGCTGAAGCACACGCAGGAGCCCTTCATGAATGAATTTTTTTACCCCTCATTCTCCTCCCTCAATTCCTTTCCCCTCCTTCCCTTTTTTACTGTACCCCTTATTCCTAACACTCTCAGGCTTCTTTCTTCTAGAGTTAACTTGTTTGAATGTACATAGGCAGCTACTTACTGAAGCAAGTGCTCAGAATACACAAATACATGCATCCCAAGCTACACTACTGAAGAAAATGACACCCTTTCCTTAACAATTGTTTACTGCCAATAATGTCATGCCTGTCATGGAGGTAACCAACCACTTTTTGGCTGGATTTTGACTCACTCCATAGGAAGGTACTCATGTCTGCTCTTTAAGCTTGGTCAAGAGCTCATAGCTAGAGAGGTAATTTGTCTTAGGGGGAAACCTACTACCACTGGTTTGGTCATATTTTTAATCTGTATTCTAAATATTTATGCTTATACCCATTTTAAAATAAGAGGAACTACAAACTTTAGTGATGCTTTTTGTCTAGTACCCTGTGTCTTCTTCATAGTAAGCATGTAATGTGACTTACAAGTGTTTGTACCTGACTGATTCCTCTAGCTAGTCACCATATCAAAGGCCAGTACCTATAATACTCAGTGTATAATTTCTGTCATAGAGTGAATATACAATAGAAGAAGGCTATTCAATATCAAAATATTTCTTCAGGAGCATCCCAAGCAGAGTTAGCATATGTCTATAGCATAAATCCACTAAATGTTTCTTAAAAATGAAAAATCTGTATATCAAATACATCAATATATGCTGTCATAGAATGTCCATGAAATGCAATACACAATGCCTTTTATATTTGCCATTTTACATCATTGAAATCAAGATAAGTTAGAAAGGTATCTTTTATATGCTTACCCAAAAATGCCCCATGAGCAAATTTTCCTGTATGTTAATAAGCACCCCATATAAGTCTACTTTCTCCATCAATGGACACCTAAAAGTCACATAGAGATCATAAAGACAGGATTCAGCTTTCAAGTTTGGAAATACTCACTGGTAATCTAAAATACAAATCTTTTTGACTGACTGGGAATTATCATCCTTTAAGGTTAACACAATTGTAAGAGTACCACCTATGTCTTCTTTTTTTTCTTATAGTCTATTTTTCCCTCAATATATATTTTTATTTAAATTAGAAACATGAATGCTTCACATGTCAATCCCAGCTCCCTCTTCCACCCCTCCTCCCTTGTCCCTCCACCAACGCCCCACCAGCCCCCCACCCAATCCCCACATCATTCCCCAGGGAGGGTGAGGCCCTCCTTGGGGAGATCTCCAAAGTCTGTCATTCCACCCAGGGCAGGACCTGTGTTCAGGCTGAGAGAGCATCCCTCTATTTGGAATGGGCTCCCAAAGATCATTCATACACTATGGTAAACACTGATCTACTATCCAAGGCACCAGTGATTTCTGTGGCTTCCTCCCTGGCACTACATTCATGGAGTCTGGATCAGTCCCCTGTTGGCCTCTCAGCCATCAGTCTGGGATTCAAGAGCTCCCCCTTATCCAGTCAGCTGTCTTTGTGGGTTTCATCATCATGGTCTTGACCTCTTTGCTCATCACTCCTCCATCTTTGTCACTAGGTTCCAGGAGTTAAGTTCAGTGTTTAGCTGTGGGTATCTGTCTCTGCTTCCATTAGTCCCTGGATGAAGGTATTAGGATGGCATATAGGGTAGTCATCAACCCTATCATCAAGGAGGGGCATTTAATGTAGTCTCTCCATTATTGCTTAGTTTGCCAGTTGGTGTTATCATTGTAGATCTCTGAAGATCTCACTAGTGTCAGCTCTCTCCTCAAGCCTATAATGACTCAATCTATTAGGGTATCTCTCTTCATGCTCTCCTCTATTCTTACCTTGACTCAACATTCCTGCTTCCCCATGACTTCTCCCCTCCTCTTATCCCCCTCTCTTTTTCTTGGTTCCCCCTCCCCCAATGTTCCTAATCTTCTCAGGAGATCTTGCCTTATTCCACTTCTCTGGGGTATCATGCATCTCTCTTGGGAACCTCCTTGTTTCCAAGACTCACTGCCACTGGGATTGTAGGCTAAGAGTGGAGTTGCTGGGCCTTGTGGTAGACTCAGTCCCATTTTCCTGAGGAATCTCCATACTTATTTCCATAGTGGCTGTATCAGTTGGCACTCCCACCAGCAGTGGAGGAGTTTCCCCCTTTTTCCACATCCTCTCCTACATAAACTGTCATTGGTGTTTCTGATTTTAGCCATTCTGACAGGAGTAAGATGGTAATTCAGAGTTGTTTTGATTTTCTTTTCCCTGATGGCTAAGGCTGTTGAGCACTTTCTTATATGTGTCTCAGCCATTTTATATTCCTCTATTGAGAATACTCTATTTAGTTCTGTACCCCACTTTTTAATTGAATTACCTGATGGGAGTGCCAATTTGTACAGCCACTTTGGAAATCAGTATATCCAAAAGATGCCCATTCATAGCAGAATTATTTGTAATTGCCAGAAATTGGAAGCAACCTAGATGCTCCTCAACCGAAGAGTAGATAGAGAAAATGTGGTACATTTACACAATGGAGTACTATTCAGCAGAAAAAAACAATGGAATCCTGAAATTTGCAGGCAAATGGATGACACTAGGAGAAACCATCCTGAGCAAGGTAACCCAGTCACAAAAAGAGAAACATGGCATGTATTCTCTCATATATGGATTTTAGACATAGATCTGGGGAGTGCCAGCCTACAATCCCATGGTCAGAGAGTCTGGGAAATAGAACCTTCATTCAGTGCCTGATGGAAGAAGAGGCAGACTTCCACGGCTAAGCACTGAGCTGAACTCAAGAAATCCAGTGACAGAGAGGGAGGTCTGATGACCAAAGTGATTAAGACTAGGCTGGTTTAACCCCCAGAAACAGGTGACCTGACAAGAGTTAGCTCTTGAATCCCAGGCTGATGCCTGGGAATTCAGCATGGGACTGATCAACACCCTCTGAATGTGGGTGTCAGTGAGGAGGTCTAGGTAATCTATTGAGCCTTGGGCAGTAGATCAGTATTTATCAAGGGTATACGAATGGACTTTGGACTCCCATCCAACAATGTGAGATGTACTCTCACCCAGAACTTTTATTTATAAAATGTAGATCTTACCATTCATTACTGTGGTTGTCTTATTTTGTCTTCTTTCTTCTGTAGTGACAGCTAAGTTAATCACATTCTGTTTCTGTGGAAGATGCTCAGAAGCAATCTGCTAAAAATAATAAAAAATGAATTGTTAAGAAATATCCTTACAAGTTCTAAAAATAGTTGAGTTCATTTCAATAGCAGCTAGCCTTGTTCTTTTTTGTTTGTTTGCTTGCTTTTGTTTTTTGTTTTGAGATGGGCTTTCTCTTTGTAGCTTTGTAGACTAGGCTGGCCTCAAACTCACAGAGATCTGCCTACCTCTGCCTCCTGAGTGCTGGGACTAAAGGTTTGTGTCTTCACTGCCCCACCACCAGCCATGTTTTAAGGGAAATACTAGGTCCCATACATAGAATCCCATGTACATTATCAAAATAAAGCCTTATGTTTACCTTAATATGGTCACTTATTTAAAAAAAACAAATATAGAAAACCAGAAGAAACATTTTAAGAGAAAAGTGATTGCCAACACATGGCAACTAATAAAGAAATGTTGAAGATTATTTATGTTGATAATTTAAAAATGACATTATTGCATACACAAAACACTAATAAGTAGTCACAATTTGGTATTTAAATAAAAATATTTTAGCTCTGTATGATTCTTTGAATATTCCTAGTGTCCTCATATTTTAAAATTAAATAGCATCTTAGTTCTGTTACCAAGTATCTTTCTGAAAGTTACTTAAACCTCAGTGTCTATAAACTTCATGGTGTCATAAAGAATTCAAATCAAAATAGACTTTCCTGAGTATTCAAAAGAAAATAACAAAGAATGAGAATCATCAAGTAAAATATTTAACATACCAAGGACTGAACTTCTTCTTGGCCATCATGTTTTCTCTGTTCCTCTCTTGATGCCACTTCTTTCCTGGGTTCTGCTGATAAATGAATACATTTAAGTAAAATTATCTGAAATATAGTGATGAGTTGACCATGCTCCTGTGGAAAGTCATGTCTAAAGAGTGACCAGGCAGCATAAATTGGTCTTTTGATAGGTTTTAAAAAACAATTCAAAACTGGGTGGGTGGGGAATGGGATGGATCTGGGACCAGAGACTAATATGCTCAAAATTGCCCAGGGTTATACATACATATACAAAGCATGCAGTGGAAGAAGGAATAGTAGCAGGATATGCATAATAATCAGTAGATGGGTTCATTTATGACAAAAGTTAAAACAAGATTCTGGCTTAAAATTCAAGTCTGCTTCCAGAAATATTCAGGACTGAAAACTGTCAGTGTTCCATTAGCACTAACTGAGTTGTTACTAAATGAATAAATGTATAACATGTGGGGCCCAGGAAGACTAGCCTCCAACCATTACTCACAAAGCTGTATGCAATGAGTTGAGAAGTCACGTGTTCAGCTTCACCAAATGGGAAGCTTAGTTTCTTGTGTCACATCACTATTAGATCATTCATCTCAGATCTCCCCTTCTTGTGTGTCAGGAGATCCAGATGAAGATCAGGAGGTCTGGGAATTAAAAGCACATTCGTAAAGCATGGGCATTGTATGTGTGTGTGCAATGTGGAAACAAATAGACTAGATAACTGGACATCATCTGGGTGTCTTATATTGATTGCCTACATCTTCCCATGTATTGACATGCAAACTCCAAAAACATTATTTTTGCCCACAGAGAAATCCTGTATCAAAAAACTAAAAAGCTTTTTTTTTTTTTGCTCTTCATTTCATTGCAGCTTTTATTCCCCCTTACGGTAGTTTGAATGTAATTGCCCCCCCCCCATAAGCTCATACAGTGTGGCGCTATTAGAGGTATGGTTTTGTTGCAATAGGTATGTC